TCCCGCCTTCGTCTTGACGAGGGTGATGGTGATGGTGATGGGTTTATCTTGTGTACCCTCCATTTGTGCATTCTCCTGATCCTCTCCTCCTCTCTTCTCCTCCTCTCTCTACCTTTCTCTCCTCTCTCGTCCTCCCTCCCCCCCCCTCCTCTTAGTCCTCTTCATTCTAATTGGCTTTATCGCCTTTGAGAGAATTGTATTACTACCCCTTGGAGCGCCCTGTGAAGTTTTTTTTTTTTTTTTTTTTTTTCCGTTGTCGAGTTTTGATCATATTGCCTTCCTTTTTTTTCTTCCTTTTTTTTTTTTACAATTCTGCATTCTGCATGGTACCCCCCCGCACCTTTCTTGCTACTGTCCCGCTGTTCTGTTCTTTGTTTCTTTTAGGGAGGGGAGGGGAGGGGGGAAGAGGAGGAGGGGGAATGAAAGCATTATAGCTTCCACCTCCAATTGGAGCATTGCATTGTTGCCTGTGTGGGCGGGCGGGCGGGCGGGCGGGCGGGCGGGTGGGCTCTCTGCAGTTTTATAGCAGCACGGCTCTTTTTTTTTTGTCCGTTTTTTTTTTGTTGTTCTAATAGACTCTGCTTTCTTCTCCTTGCAGCTGAGCTCTCTCTTCTCCCCCTCCCTTCCCTGCCATTTTTGGTACAAAATCTTTATGGGTTTATTTGCATTTCAGCTCTTTGCGTATTTGCAGTTCTGACCTCTTTCTCTGACTTCATTTTGCCAATCAGTCCTTTTCCTCTCTGGGGTGTGGCTAGTCTGGTCAATTTTTTTTCTCTCTCCGACTGCCGTGCGGGGGACGACCAATTTTTTCTTGCCAATCTCGCCGGGTCTGTTTCTCTTTTTCGTTTTTGGTTTTGGTTTTGGTTTTGGTTTTGGTTTTGGCACAAAATAGATCTGTCAATCTTTCTCTGGGGGGCTCCAAATTCAGCAAAATCACAGCAACACAGGACATATTTGTTTCTTGTCATTTTGACTGACTTGACTTTTCCTCTGTTTGGATCCCTGGCTTCTCCGCCTCCTCCTCTTCTTCCTCCTCCTCCTCATCCTTTGCCCTGCACTGCTTTGCCCCGATTGCATGGTGATCAGTAGTGTACTAGGAGAGCGGTATTGGGAGAGGTAGTGGCAGTATCTTGCCAAAACGGGGCCAGACGGGGCCAAACGGGACACCGGGACGGGTCCGTCGCAGGTCGAGACAAGGTCCAGTGCAGCAGCAGCAGCAGCAGCTGAGTGTACAAGCGCCAGCAGACAATATGGCTGTTCCAGGAGTGCGGTCCACAGGGTGCTTGACCCCAAAGGGCGGGCGCAGTTCTGTAATCGTGCCATCCCCTTCTGCTCCCAATCATCATAAGTCCAAGATTCTGTTGCCCATCATCAAGTTCTTGATGATCGGTAGCATATTATGCCTTGCGCTGCATTATGCCCTGGATTACAGCGGCTTCAATGCGGCTTTTTATAGAAGCGTCACTGGCAGAAGCACACCAGAGAGTTCTCCTGTGTTGCAAACGTCTGGAGGAGGGGGTGCCTCTACGGCTGACCCTGTCCAAGGGGTCGCAAATGGCAATACCCCTGGCACCGATGTTGGTACTGTGGGCGCCGGCAGCAGTGGTGGTGGGACATCAGGTGCGGGAGGTACAGGGGCGGTTGTTCGTGATGCCGCCTTGGCTGCGACTAACTTGAAAGGGGCTCTTCTCGTTGCCGGTACCTTTCAGATGTGTCCTCGCGGTAGTTCGTCCACGGACCAGCGTAAGAGCATGTCTTCGGCCTATGGGGAACTGGCGCGACTGTTCTTGAAGAATAAGGTCGATTATGCAGGCCATCATGGGTTATCTGTATGGCCCTTCCTCGGCGATCTGCAGGTCAAAGAGGCGCCTTCGCTGCCTGAGTGGACGAAGATCGCCATCCTTAATTACCTGTGGCAATCTCATACTGAGAGGGAATGGTTCCTGTGGATCGACGGCTCCATCATGGTCCTGGATATGGCGTTCGACATTCCATGGTCGAAGTACAAAGGGTTCGATGTCGTCCTCTGGGGCAATGAACCGGAGGTGTTCATCGATGTGACTCGCGGTGGCAGAGCTCAGTGCAAGGGTGTAGACACAGCTGTGTTGCTGGTAAGGCGAAGCAAGTGGGCAAGGAAACTGCTCAAGGAAATGCTGAGCTTGCAGCGGAAGGTAGCCACCGCTGCCGATTCCGGACAGACCATGGCGGATCTTCGTGCAGTTCTCAGCGATCTCCCACCCGATGGCGTGTTTACGCCGGAATGCGCGTTGTCCTATCTCGTTGCAAACAGCACTGAATGGCGCCGCAAAATTTATTTCGAGAAGGAACACTCCTTGAATGCACCTTGGACGGATGCTTTGCCAACGCTCGAGGATTACATTGCTCAACCCTCAGACGGAGTGGGTAGCTCACCCACGGCAGCCATGGGCACGGATCTCAAGTCCAAAGAGTGGGTCGGCGACGGAAGGAAACCGCCTTTCCTTGTCAGCTTTGCAGGGTGCAATTTCTGTGCCAAGAACACTGGCACTGATGATGGTAAGACTAACTTTAGCAGCACCAGCAGTGGCAGCAACGCCCCCGAAGACAGTCCTGAAAATGAAGAGTGCGCGAAGGGCATACGCAAAGCATTCGCCTTTGGAAACAACCAAGTGGTTGCTGCGCTGAACCTGCGCTACAAGTCTTTGTATGACACGTGGGTAGTGCCCATCAAATCAGAGGAGGAGACGACACAGGCAGGCATCCCCATTGCTGAGCAGGAGCATGTTTCCGACTTGCCAACTCCTGAAGCAAAGACTGCGAATGGCTCATCCGACATCGATGGTGGTGGGAACGCATCCGAGGAGGCTGCGATTGCCAAGGAGAATGCATCTGCTTCTCCTCCACCTCTTGCGGCAGAGGAAGCGTCTCCTAATTCGAAAGGTGCGGAGACGGACAGTCAAACAGGTCTCAAAGAGGACGCAGGACACAAAGAAGAGCGTGTCACCGAAGAGCGGCCGCCAGAGCAACAGCGGCAGCTGGAGGGGGCTGATCGTGACAAAGCAGCCTCCGCAGAAGTCCACACAGCAACCGGTTCCTCCCCTGTTGGTGATTCTGACAAGAATGNGAAGTCCACACAGCAACCGGTTCCTCCCCTGTTGGTGATTCTGACAAGAATGCCTCGCCATCTGCCAGCAAGGACGCTGTGCAGGGCCCTCCGGCCTTGTGAGAGATGGTTTGCAATTGTTCCCGTCTGATGCTCTTCCCTGACTCCTTACCCGCAACGATGCTGTGCAGGTTTTTGCCTGTTTTTTTGTTGTCAATAAGCGGCGTGAAGGAAGTATTTCCTGCATATGTGTCGCATGTTTAGCGCAGGATGTGGATTGACCAACAAACAAAAGGTCTCCTGATTGAGTGTGAAGATAAGGTCCTGGGGTCTGTTCCGATCCCCCACAGACATGCGGTGACATTCACATGGCTGAACCCATGGATGCATGTCCCCCCCTCTAGCGTGTCCAGAGCCGATCAATTTTAGAGAGGATTAGGTTCCTTGCGGCAGTGTTGCATCATGGCAGAGCATGCCATTGTGTTGGCATGCATGAATTGAAGGTTTCATCTTACATTGCGACCTCTGGCCAGCTACAC